AGCTGCGCGGGCCCATGGAGCCCCCTGCCCTGAAAGGGGGGGGGGGTTCCGGACCCCCCCCCTCCCCCTCCCCGCTGGAAGGGGGGGGGGGGTTCGGATCCCCCCCCCATCCCCTCTGCGCCGGAAAGGGAGCCGGGGAGGGGGCCTCTCTCGCTTTTCATTTCTGCGCCGGAGAAGGTGTGTAGGGAGTATGGAGTTGGGAGTAGGGAGTAGTGGGTAGTGAGTAGTGAGTTAGTGCGTAGTGAGTACTGAGTATTGGGTAGTGAGTAGTGGGTAGTGAGTGGCGAGTAGGGAGAGGGAGTAGGGTGTTGGGAGTAGTGAGTAGTGAATAGGGAGTAGTGTGTACTGATAAGTGAGTAGTGAGTAGCGAGTAGTGAGTAGTGAATAGTGAGTAGCGAGTAGCGAGTAGTGAGTACTGAGTAGGGAGTAGGGAGTAATCCGTAGTGTGTAGTGAGTAGTGGGTAGTGAGTAGTGGGTGGCGAGTAGTGAGTAGTGAGTAGTGAGTAGTGAGTAGTGCGTTGTGAGTAGTAAGTAGTGAGTAGTGAGTAGTGAGTAGTGAGTAGTGAGTAGTGAGTAGTGAGTAGACAGTAGCGAGAAGTGAGTAGTGAGTAGTGATGTGTGAGTAGTGAGTAGTGAGTTGTGCGTAGTGAGTAGTGAGTAGTGAGTAGTGAGTAGTGATGAATAGAGAGCAGTGGGTAGTGGGCAGTGGGTAATGAGTAGTGAGCAGCGAGTAGGGAGTAGCGAGTAGTGAGTAGCAGTAGGGTAGGGTAGCGAATAGCGGGTAGTGGGTAGTGAGTTGTGGACAATGAGTAGTGAGTAGTGAGTAGTGCGTAGTGGATAGTGGTTACTGGGTAGTGAGTAGTGATTAATGAGTAGTGAGTAGGGAGTAGTGAGTAGTGATTAGTTTGTGAGTATTGAGTAGTGGGTAGTGAGGAGTGAATAGTGAGTAGTGAGTAGTGAGTAGGGAGGAGGGAGTAGTGAGTAGGGAGTAGTGATTAGTGAGTGGTGGGTAGTGGGTGGTGAGAAGTGGATAGTGAGTAGTGAGTCGTGAGTATTGAGTTAGGGGTAGCGAAAAGTGAGTAGTGAATAACGAGTAGTCAGTAGTGGGTAGTGAGTAGTGAGTAATGAGCAGTGAGTACTCTTTTGGTCTGGGGTTAGGGGTTGGGGTTCGGGTTTAGGGTTTTGGGTTAGGGTGAGGACTAGGGTTGGGGATGGTGGGGGTCGGGTTCCGGAGTCAGGGGGCGGCGTGGCGAAAGGGGGGGAGGGGGGGGGGGGCTGCGGCCAAAAGGGGGGGAGGGGGGGGGGGCTGGACCCCCCCCCCTTTTGAAAGGGGGGGATGGGAGGGGGTTCCGACGACGGACCAGGAAAGGGGGGGGGGTCCCCGACGACGGATCGGGGAAGGGGGGGAGGGGGGGGGTCCCCGACGACGGATCGAGGAAGGGGGGGGGGGAGGGGTTCCAATCCCCTTCCCCTTGAGGGAGATCCAGCGGCGCGCCCTCGTGGAATAGCGGGCTGGAGGAGCCGGCTCACCCCAAGAGAGGAGGGATGGAGGATGAATCGTCGTCATCTTCGTCGTCGTCGTCGTCGTCGTTGTCGTCGTCGTCGTTGGAGGAGGAAGAGGAGGGGGATGGGGGGAGGGGGGAACATGGAGGATGAGGAAGAGGAGGAGGAGGAGGAGGAGGAGGGCTAGCAGAATGGCCAGAAGCCCTTTGGATGCCCCTCGGAGTCTCTTCGGATGTCTCTTGAAAACTTCTTGGCGTCTTCTTGGGGATTCTCGGAGGCCTCTTGGTGGTCCTGGGGGCTTCTTGGAGCGTCTTGTGTGCAAGGGGGGGGGGCTCCTAGGGTCTCATGGGGATCTGTTGGGAGCTTCTTGGGAGCCTCTTGGGGGTCTCTTGGGGTCTCCTGGGCGCCTCTTGGGACCATCTTGGGAGCCATTGGGGCCATCGCGGGGCCGTATAGGAGGAGATCGATCACAGAAGGAGGGGGGGTACTAAATCAGCCCCCCTCCCCCCAGGAGGCCAACATTGGCCCAAAACCGATGTCACATCACTGATCCAGCTGCCTACGGCAACTCCCACCACCGTGCCTGGGTTGTGGGTGGGAAGCCTATTGGATATTCGTTGGGATCTCGTGGGCGGCCTCTCGGGGCCTCTTGGAGGCAGTTTTGAAGCCTCTTGGGGGCCGTGTTGGGGCCTCTGAGGGTTTGGGCCTCTTGGGGGCCTCTTCGGGGCCTTTTGGGGCCTCTTTTGCGCTTCTTGGGGCCTACCGGGGGCCTTTTCGTTTGGAAGGCTCGGATTTTCGGTTCGTGTTCCCTCTCTTAGGCCCTTTTTTTGGTCGTCTTGGGGCTCTTTTGGGCCGTCTTGGGCGCCTCTTGGGTCGTCGTGGGGCGCTCTTAGGCAGTCTTTGGGTCCTCTTAGAGCCCTCTTGGGCCGTCTTGTGGTGGTCTTGGGGGCCTCGTGGGCCGCCTCGGAGCGTCGGAAAAGAGAACAGGCGAGAACGACAACACCGTTCAACAGCCGAAGGACAGTCAATGATTTTTGGCTGTTGGGGCCCTTCGGGGAGGCCTCTTGGGGCGTCCTGGCGGCCTCTTCGGCCGTCCTGGGACCATCGTGGGCGTCTTGGAGCGATCTTGGTCTGTCTCGGAGGCCTCTTGGTGGCCTGGGGGGGCGTCCTGCGCCGTCATGGGAGCCCTGGCGAGCCTCAGGCAGGTGCCGTGCCCGCCCAGGGCCCCCCCGATCTGTTGCGTGTCAGGGGCGCCACGCGCGCCAGGCACCCCTGGGGCCCGAGCGTGCCAGGCACGCCTGGTGCGCCACAGGCGCCACGTGCTGCGAGTGCGCCAGGTGTGCCGCACACTGCAGCCGCGCCAGGTGCGCCGCGTTCGGGGCACGTGCAGAGCGCGTCAGGTGCGCCTGCGCACCTGACAGCAGACATCGGGAAACACGTCGGCCCCCGCCATCCCTGTCGATAACCGATCCCCATCATTGTGGATGTTGGGCCTGCGCGCAGCAGGCCACGCGCCACCGCCCCCGCCGTCCCTGTCAAAAACCACTTGGCAGTGATCGCGGGATGGCCGCGCATGATCCAGATTTAGCCGCGAGGTGCATGTTGTATTTTTTGTCAGGGATGGTAGCCCTGCGCGCAGCAGGGAATATGCTGACACCCCCGCCGCTCTTGCCAAGAACCATACGAAGTGCTCGCGGGCCTCACGACCATGACTCAAGACTTTGCCCCAACATGTACATTGCATCGATTTTTGACAGGGATGGTGGGGGGGGCGCATCGGGTTGGCCGCGCATGCTCCAGAGAAGAGAGGCAGAGTGCGGTTCGTGTTGTTCTTTTGACAGGGATGGTGGGGAGGCGGGTCGGCATGGTATTGGCATGGTGCCTGGTTGGCCCCTGGTCGCCTGGTGGAGGGGGTGTATATCAATAAGGAACAGTGGTGACTCCTTCCCGAAAAAGGGAAGGAGGGGGTGGAACAACACGGGCTCTCTAAACCACCTCCGCCCAGAGGGCTGTTAGGATTCCGCGGGGCAGGGTGGGGTCTAGCAGCGCACGACTCTGGGCAGCAGCTCAAGCTTCGTACGTGATGCCCCCCATATGGGACATCTTCCCCCAGACTTCCCAGGACTTGGAGATGGAAGTTCTTGCTTTTTCTAGTCTCTGTTTGACTGCCCCAGCTGATGGGCACTCTGACTGTCTCAACGTCTGTGGGGCCTTCGAGCTCGACCGTTCAAAGAAGCTGTCGCACAGACGGCCCCACGTCGGCCTCATGGTCGATGCCACGGGGTCCCACTTATCCGACCATCTACAAAAGTCAAGATCGAGGCTGATCGAGGCTGATCGAGGCTGAGGCTGATCGGTCAGCCGGGCCGACGGCGAGGCTGAGGCTGATCGAAGCACCCTCTACAAGAGACGAGGCGGATCGATCAGCCAGGGGAGGGGCCGCCCAGCACCCCAAGCCGTCCTGTGCCGAGTCGGCGGGCCTTTGAGTGGCTGCTCCAGGCCGCTCGCAGTGCTTCTCGCCCTGCGGCCACGATCCGCCCCTCTCGGCCGCGGCTCGACGCCAATGTTCCCTTCGCTGCCCCTCCTCGCCCCGCCAGGGCCCGGGGCGGAGCCCCAGCTGGGGAGCACGAGTGGAATCGACTACACGTAAGAGTGGCCTTTCGCCGGAGTGACCTTTGGTGCGGGCCCAATGGGGTCCCCCGATCGCCAAAGGCGATGCGATAGTGGCGTCTTGCGAGCTTGTGTTTGGCACCCCCGCGGCCCCCAAAAAGCCGCGCACCAAAGGTCACTCTTGCCCAGGGTCACTCTTGCGTGCAGCCGATGGAAGGGGCGCACTCCTGGCCGTTCCTGACCCCCAAGTGAGGGGCGTGCCGAAGGCCTGCTTCCTGATGCCCGTTCCGTATCTGCTCGTGGCCACCGTGTCTCGCTCTGGCGTGTGCTGACGACCAGGTGCTCGTCGTTTGTATGCGTTACATCTTCTTCAGCACCCCTTGGACAATTTAGGGGCCCCGTGGACAGTGCACACGGCCTCTCGCAGAAGCGTCGGAGTACTGGTCCAGGGCGAAGCGTAGCTGACGCTCGAAGGAGAATGTTCGGGTGGAGCCTACTCGCACAAGGGAGCAAGGCTGATGACTGGCAGGGCGTTCGTCAATTATTCCCTCCTCTTCTCCTCTTCCTCCTCCTCCTCCTCCTCCTCCTCCTCCTCCTCGTGCTGCTTCTCCTCCTTCCTCCTCCTCCCTCCTCCTCCTCTCCTCCTCCTCCTCTCCTCCTCCTCCTCCTCTCCCTCCTCCCCTTCCCCCCCTCCGGCTCGCCGCCAAGCCTGGGGCTGCCCCCCGCAGATCCCTCCGACCCCCCCCCGTGGGCTCGCCGCCGAGCCCACGGGGGCTCGCCGCCGCAGGCGGCCCCCCGGAGGCCGAGCACGGCGCGCCCCCTCCGCGCGGCCCGGCCCCGCGGCGCGCCCCGCGGGGCGCGGCGGTGCCCCCCCCCCGCGCCCCGCGCGCCCCGCAGGGCCTGCCGCACTGGCCGGGGCCGCCCGCCTGGGAGTCGGACGGGGAGCTGCCGGAGCGCGGCGGGGGGCCCCGGAGGGGGGAGGCCCCTCCTCCTCCTCCTCCTCCTCCTCGTGCTGCTCCTCCTCCTCCCCCTCCTCCTCCTCCTCCTCCTCCTCCTCCTCCTCCTCCTCCTCCTCCTCCTCCTCCTCCTCCTCCTCCCCCCTCGTCCTCCTCCTCCCCCCTGCCCGGAGTGACCTTTGGTGCGCGGCCACTGGGGCCCCCGATCGTCGCGTGCGGTGCGACAGTAGCGTCTTGCTCGCTTGTGTTTGGTCCCCCCACGGCCCTCAACGAGCCGCGCACCAGAGGTCACTCTTGCCCAGGGTCACTTTTGCGTGTCGCCGAGGGACGAGAGGAGCAGCAGGTATCGAAGCCGCTGCCCTTCGCCCAGTTTGGGCGGTCTTCGGCCTCCTGGGAGGCACTCGTCGCCACCGCTGGATTCGCCTCGCCGGGGATCAGATCAGAGGAGGTCGGTGATCTACAGGGGGGTTGCAGAAACAGGCCCCCAAAGGGGTCCTGCTCCAACAGGCGCCCATAAGGGAATTCTTCGGGTCCTATTCTTCCCCCCACGCTTGGGTTATCCCCCATTACCACTCGCCCGGGGAGAAAGATGTGCCAATACAGCTACCCTCCGCTTTTTTTGGCGTTTTTCGGCTCCCTGGGAGGGCCTCGTCGCCACCGCTGGATTTGCCTCGAAATCCTGGTCAGAATGCGCCCTGTGAGAGGTTCAGGGAATAATGGTATCGGTATCTTTTGGTTTCCGCAGGGGCGCCTGCGCCTGCGGAGAGGAGTGTCCTCCTCCTACTCTTCTTCATTCTTTCTCCTTGTAGACAACGTCTCCCTGTCGCACCCCGAGGCGTTTTTTGTTAGGGCGGGCCGGGCGTTTCGCCTGAGACTTCCTCACAATTTGTGATTCTGAATCTTAAATTATGGCAGCAGTTTCACAGATGGAGGGCGGGTCGTTTTCAAAATGTGGCTCTCGCCTTAGCGCCGCGCACATTCGTTTTCAACATTTGCAAGAGTTTAGCGGATTGAGGGCGGGTGGTTTTCAAAATGTGGCTCTCGCCTTAGCGCCGCGCACACTCGTTTGAAAACATTGCATGGGTTTCACGGATTGATGGCGGTTCCTTCTCAACATGTGGCTCTCGCGTTAGCGCCGCGTACATTCGTTTTCAACATTTGGAAGAGGTTCACTGATTCCCATGATCAGCGTACCAGAAATGGTGTTCTGGAAGGATTCAGGATTGTGTGGGTGCAACAGTTATGTTGATTCGCGGTGCTGAAGTCCCAAAAATGGCGCTCTGGCACGATTCCGGATCGTCAAGACGCAGCAATCAGGTTGATACGTGGCGTTGAAATCCCGAGAACAATGCTTTGGCATGCTTCAGGATCTTCAAACGGTTGTCTTCCAACGAGGCAGTTCCCTCAATGAACATGAACCGTTGTGGGGGCCTATGAAGAGGGAGCTTGGGGGGAGGATGTATTCCAACATCGTTGATGGCTCTTGGTTTTACACTGGTCCTCCTCCTCCTCCTCCTCCTCTGGCAGTGCGGCTTTACCTTGCCAGGCTGGCCCAAGGGCTGGCGGTGCGACCCCCAAAGGGTGCAGCAGCCGCCAGCCTGGGGACAAGCTGACCTCGCACTCGGCCGCTTGGCGCCTCGCCCTGCAGATGATGCTCCTCATCCTCTCCTCCTCCTCCTCCTCCTCTTCCTCCTCCTCTTCCTCCTCCTCCTCCTCCTCCTCCTCTTCCTCCTCCTCTCAGGGGCAACGATAAAGGGGGGGATAGGCATGGGGGATGCATCAACGCCGTTGCCCCTCCTCCTTTCTTAGGCAAGCAGCCGGCTCTCCCTCCTCCTCCTCCTCCTCCTCCTCCTGCTTTCTAAGGCAAGCTGCAAGCGCTCCCAGATCCTCCTCCTCATCCTCCACTCTCCTCTTCCGCCAGGGTCGGCAGAACTGCGGCAAACTCTGAGCCACCCCCCCCGCGGCGGGCTCCTCTTTAGAGCTGGTCGGTGCCACCCGGAAGATGTTGTGTCTTGCTTTCGCCTGGCGTCAGGGCTTGGGCGGGACATATTGCAGGCAAGATATGTGGAGCAAGCAGGAGAGAGACATCCTGAGATCCGACGGGAGCCCCGACGCCCTCGTTCTATGTTATTTTTCGAGCCCGATCGATCTGTGAGGTTCCCGAGGCGCGAACTTGAGCGAGAACGCCCGCTATCAAAGAATTGCAACGCCAGGATCTCAGGGAGGAGCCAGTCAAGACACATTCGGAATGTTGAAAGCGAGACGGGTCATGTGTGTGTGAAGACCGCTCATCTTCCCTATCAATCCATCTATCCTGCTATCCTCTCGGCTCAGGTATTGGACATCCTGAGCGCCCGTGTTCTGACGAGCGCATGGACAAAAGAGTCGCTTATTTTTCCGTTTTCGTCCTCTACCTACGGACCATACGGTAGGTTCGACTCATTGGTCGCTTACCTCCGTTTGCAAGTTATCGGCTTTTTCTACTTCGACCTTCGTTGCGAACCCCGGCGCCGATTTCGAGCCTTGCGCATGGCGCTGGAACCGGCAGGGACCAACGCCTCTATGCGTGGTGGTATTTCGACGGTGCGTGGGCTTCGCGACGACACGGAAAAGGCAGTGGGACAGGGACTAATACCGCAATCCGCCCTACCAGGAAAAGGCCGCGCCGATGCCCGCCGTGAAGCCGCGCTTCGGCGTGCGCCGCAGGCATGCGTAGACGCTTCCCATTCTTCCGTGCAGGCGCAATCGTTCACCCCAGGGCTTGGACCCAGCTTCCAGCCGACTGTTCGATGACCTGGAGCCAACGTTAGTTCAAGTCTTTCGCCAGTGGAAACACCTACGCCTTCCTCTTCCAATCTTTTCGCCGGTGGGAACACTTGCGGTGCCGCGAACGAAACGTCGCTTCCGAGCGCTTCCGCGCGAGTCCGCCGCCGGGGCACCAGAGGTCCCTCGAGCCCCGCATCGGTTCCCGTGTCTGAACACGTGCGAGCCATTGAGGATCGTATTGGAACGACCTCACAGCGAAGAGCACCCTATCGGTATCAATTTCAGTTGCAGCATCGGGACGCCAGTCGCAGCCCCTCACAGAGGCGGTCAAGGCAGAATTCACCGCGGCGCGATAAGACGCCACATGCGTCGCCCTCCGCCAAGGAGTTGGCGGAGCTCAGATACCATATTGAATTTACACGACCCAACCGTTGTCGGGTTTTGCTGCCACAGTCGCCGATCGCGCGACGCAGACAGCAAAATTGAGGCAAGAGATCCTGCATGCTCTTGCCCTGGTTGACGTTCGGATCGCTGAGGATCGATCGGTCCTCGATGAGGTCCAAGATTAAGTTGATCGTGTGAAGTCACACCGGGGTGCAGATTCCACTGCCATCCAGACGCTCCGCGACTACGTCCTCGCCATGGGGGCGCAGTTCGTAAGCGTCAGGGATGCAGGCGCTGCGGGTGCCAGGACCCTACGCGACGAGATCCTGACATGGCGGCAGGTTCTTGCGATTGAGGTACATGGGATTATGTATCAACAGTTCCGTGATGTCCTCATTGCGCCTCGTGATCACGTTGATGCGACCGCTGCCAACCTCCACTCCGAGAGTGCCACCACCGCGTCCGAGATGCATGGCGAGATGTGTGCTGGCGAGATGGCTACTGCTCAACGTTTTGATGCATCAGAGGGGCGCGTGCCAGCGCTTGAGAACCGAGTTTCCGCGGTAGAGCAGCAGTTGTCTATCGCGCAGGATGCGCTGCCTGAGTTGCGCGTTGCACGGGCCCAGACTGCGCGGCAGGGCGCCCCGACTTCGGTTTGCGATTTCGCCCCCCATCGCCACCGAGATGGCCGAGGTAAGGAAGGCGGCGGATCGCGCGCAGTTGCGACTCGTCCAGATCCCCGCGAAAGAGACGCTGAAATGGCACGGTCCGAGGCATTGTTTGCCCGTTAAGAAGTAGAGCGCGAAGCGCGCGACCGACGATTCCAGGCCTTGGGTCATCGGCTGGGCCGGTGCCCCCAGGGAACTTATGACACCAACGACGGGGTGAGTGGTCTACGATGCAGCGTCGAGTTGTTGCAGGGCGATCTCGCGATCGCCGGACCCACCCTGACGGCTTACGTTAGCGACTCCAAGATCCGTTCCTTTCGCGACCTCCAGAACCCACCACCGACAGTGGCCCGACCCTCGCCGATAGAAGCATCCGCGCAGGACAACCGCGACGTGCGTCGCCATGAGCTGCCTTTGCAGCGGCCTCAAAACAGGCGCGTCGCGTATCTCCTGTGCGTGGGCCATCGCCGACGCCGCCAATGCCGTCGCATAATCTTTCGCAACGTTCTCTTGGTGGCACTACCCCGATATAGGAATCCGATGGCGTTCGTATTCCTCAATTGCTACGCATTGCTTGGTTACGAGAGTGGCGGCGCAGTGACAGGGGCAACTTCGGCGGTGCGTCAGGGCGTCCTGCTAAGGCATGCACCTTTCCCTGCGTTGCCCAACGCCCTGATGCTGCGCGTGAGGGCCTTCGAGACAGTGGCGACTTCGAGGGCGTCGACTGCAAGCTCGCCGCTGGACTTTCGGCAGTTCCCTTATTAAGCTCCCTTATCGCATGAAGAACTCCAGAGCTCAGGAACACAAAGCCGGCCACGTGCTGAAAGGCAGACAGATCGACTGGGTTATCTTGCAATCGTACATGGTCGCGGAAATCGACGACGCCATGACTTCGAACGTCTCCAAATTCCGCATGCGAGGCGACGACGTCTAACGGTTTGTCGTGGACAGGGACATTTTACTCTTGGAATGCCGAAACCACTGGGCACGGAGATGCTCCAGTCATCGTTCTGAGCTCAGATCCGCAGACGCCCGTGGCTGAAGCCAGACATGCGCGACTGCGATAAGATGAAAATGGGCGATTCCAGTCGTGCGTGCAATTTTACCCAACAGCTTTTGCCGATAGGTTTCTAATGGTCTCAAAAGAGAGCAGCAGATGACTCCACAGGGGGGTCGGGGCG